ACTTTATCATTTCCCAATTATTTTCCTAGCTTTGATAGTCCTCGATTTGATCGATTTTTGACGAATCTCGCAATCCAACTCCATCACACGTGACAGCCATTTCCGACCTTTTCGGCATGTACCCGACATTTTTTGCCTTCCCCAACACCACCAGCTTCCTCCCCTTAGCCCTCTCACCAAAACCCCTATCATACCTCATCTGTTTACTTCGCCAATCGCAGGCCACCGATACCTTTTGGGCTACGACTTCTCAAGCTTTTCCCAGTCAATCCTGGCATTGAAAATCACCCATTTCACCGCCCATCGCTTCGCCAGCATCTGCTCTCCAAAACTCCCCACCAACCTGACCTCGTCAGCCCTCTGATCATCGTCCACCTCTCCTAGTGATTTTGCATCTCAAAAGGCAAAAAAAATAATTTTGAAATAATTTTTTTAATATATGTTTATATTATTAGAAGACCCCTAAAGTAACTCTTGTCTAGGGTCACAAATATTTTTGAGACGGCCCTGGTTCTACTAAATGTTGACCAAACTAAAATTGGACATAAGTGTGGACGAGGTTTGAGAGAGAAATAGAGGATTGTCAGAGTATTTATCCTTTTTAGCTAACAACTTAATCAAAACTACATTACCCAAATTCATATGTTATAACTATAATATATACATAACTATAGTCAGGGGTAAAATTATTTTTCTGAGTATAACTAAAATGAAAATTTCTATCACACACTTTGACATCTAGAAAGTGCCTTATTAAAAAGTTTATACTTAATAAAATCAGATTCATTATTTAAAATGTATAGTTCATTTTGAAGAAGAACAGAATTGAAAACAATATTTATACAATAAATGGAACTTATTATAGTTTTATTAAGAAAAGAAACAAAATGATATTTTAAATAAATAATAAAAACACTCTAAATAATATATAATTAATTAAAATTTTAATTATACTCATAATTATAAAATTAAAATTTTGTTTTTTCCCGACATTTTCACCCGGGCAGTAGCCAAGGGGGGCCACCCCTAATAAACATGAAAAAGAAATATAATAAAGTAATTAACCAAAGCATTAATACCTAAATGACAATACTAAGTCGCATATTTCATTTATAAAGAATAAAATGTCTAGAAAATAGTGCTTCTTGTCAAAAAATTTATTGTTTATTGTTGTGTGTGATTTTTCCATCAAGCTCGGTGAGTTGCGAGGTATTAATTCGGCCCACAATCAGTCTGACTCTACCGGTTGCCTGACCCAGCATAAGCTCGTCGACATATAGCTCAACCCTACATAAGCTAGTCGCGAACAACCTGAATGATCAATCAATCAATTTTTAGATAACTTCAGATCCCAAATATTACGGGAATGATCAGATTAACAACAATCTATGTCCAATCACAATACCCAATTGCGAGAATATCAGAGTTGCATTTAAAATCAATTGTAATCCCTTCATTTTTGCTATTTTCTTTGTACAAGCATTGTATATAAACCCCTTCAAATGATGAGAAAGGGGTTAGAAATTTTCCATAGAACTCTTATTGTAAGCTCTCACAGCAAATATAAGAACCGTGGACTTAGGCACAAGAGGTTACCTCGCTGAACCACTTTAAAAACTTCATTGTCATTTATTTTATTACATTTATCATTCATCCATCGCTAATTATTTGTAATCACGCTCACATCCGTTCCGATTCCACCAAGGTCAATCGGATCTCTCTGGTTGGTGCGAATTTTCGTATAAACATTTTGGCGCTAAAAGAAAGGGTCTTCGCCAACATCTTAGAAATTCCGGTGAACAGCCACAACAACCTACTCAATCCAGGCTTGCAATGGTACGTACCAAATCGAAGACCACCTCCGGGAACCACAAAAATGTGGAAACCACCCATGAGGAGGTGCAACAGGACGCCGCTAGACGTCGACCACCTATGCCACCAACTCAACACGTCACAAATAACCAGGGGATAGGACGTCAAACCCCGAAAATGGCCAGCTGGTGGAGATGATCAGAACAATGGTTGCATAGGCGGTGCAACAAAACGTGGCTAAGCTGAGAAACTAGCAACTAACTGCCCAAAACCTCGACCAGCCACACTTCGCCAATGCCTCCCTAAAGTGTATGAATTCAGTAGGTGGCCAGTCCGGCTCATCGGTGCCGAGAGGCGATTGGTATCCCCGCCGTCATAAGCTCCACTTCGCTCATGAGCGTAAATCCCACAGGCAAACTAACACTGGGAGGCGGCCAGAAAAGCGACCACTAGGTGAAAGCGAAGGCAATTGTCACCCCCGAGATGCTGGACGGTATCCCCAGCGTCAATGTGCTGGTCTTAACCCATGCCTGAGATAAGCTCAATCCTTGCAAGCTCGCGAATGAGTCATGTGCGTCAATTCGGCGATGACCGATGTTCCAGTTATAATCGACATCGTGAGCAACGTACCAACAAGAATGATATCACCTATCAGCCTAGCCATCATGACTCAACTTCACACATCAATGCACATAATGGAGAGGCTTCGTAAGCGACAGACTTGCGAACTCACTTGCTCGAAGTAAGGTTGAACACAGCCAACAGGGGAACCAGAATGAAGATTTAGATCGTGTGCAAAAAATGCTTGACGATCTAAGGGCCTGCCAAAACAGCGTAGTAGAAGAAATAGTGAGTTCCCCTTTCATGTAGGAGGTTCAACAGGCCCCACTTCCATAGGGATTCAAGGTGCCAGAAAGTAAGTTCGACGGGAGAGGGGACCCTAAAGACCACCTTGACAATTTCAATGACCTGATGGAGGTACACTAGGTCTGTGACTTGGTGAAGTGTCGCTGCTTCGCAGTCACATTAGTAAAGGATGCCAAAAGGTGGTACAAGAGACTCAAAGTGAACTTCATCAATTCCTAACAACAATTCTCCTCGCTGTAGCTACAACAATTTTAAGTGAGGAGACAGTTTGCAATGCCGCTCAGTTACTTGAGCAACATTCATCAGGAGAGGGACGAAACATTGACCGCGTATTTGATGAGGTTCCATAATAAAAAAAACAAAGGTTGCGAATGCACCCAATGAGTCCATCTGAACTTTGCTTATTGCAGGCATCAAGCCAAACATGGAGTTGTGGAAAGAGCTCCAGAGTGAAGATCACGTGAGCCTGGCCAAGTTTTACCAAATAGTTATAAAACACTAGGGAGTAGAAAGCTCGTTGACAGTATTGGCCAGAAGCTCGAAGCGAGGAGCCTCGGACAGGCAACAAGATCGCCCATCACACAAGTGTGGGGGTCAAGACCGCAATGATAGGGATCACAATAGGTCTAAAAAAGGCAGAGAACAGATAACTGCGGGGATAGTTAGCCCTTCCCACAATATGCAGAACATACCCCTTTCACGCAAGATATAGCTCACATCTATGAAGTCTCCCATGAGGCAAAGAGATTTTCTGCTCCAGAAAAGATGAGAGGGGCTCCAAGCAGAGGAGATCGACAAAAATTTTGCCAATACCACCGGGACATTGGGCATAACACTAATGAGTGTCGGGCTTTGAAAGATGTCATCGAAGACCTAATACGAATGGGGCACCGAAAGGAATTCGTCAAGGAGGCACTAGCTCGTGAAGGTCCTAGCAAGCAAAACAATCAGGTCCAAAACTAGATTCAACAAGCCCCGACAAATGCCAATAATAAGGTCATGGTAGGTATGATCTATGGGGGGGCCCGACATAGCGAACAGCTCAAAGCGTACCCGTGAACAATATGCTCGTGAGGCCAGAACAAACTCGGTCCCTTGAATAATGAGCTGTGAACAGAAGCCGCCCAAGCAGCCTAAACAAGAGACCGAGGTAGTAGGATTCACAATCGAGGAATGCGAAGAATCCCTTCGCCATAATCATGATGCGACTGTAATCGCAGCAAGAATTGACAATGCCAGAGTGCTGAGGGTAATGGTCGATAATGGGAGTACATCGAACATCATTTTCTTGGGAGCTTTTCGAGGAATGATGTTCATAGAGAGAGCCCTGAAGGCATGCGCTTCGCTGCTCTATGGGTTTACCGTGGACAGCCTAGTTCCCAAATGGATGATTGACCTCCTAGTGACTCTAGGGGTAGAGCCCAAGATCAGGACGGTGATGGTTGAATTCCTAGTGGTAAACTACCAACTACATACAATGTCATCCTCGAAAGACTGATCTTGGATGACTTGAGTGTAGTCACATTAGTGTGTTGCCAAGCAATGAGGTTTCTAACTCCCGGGGGAGTCGCAACGATCAAAAGCTACAGAAAGGAATCTTAGAAATGTTACAACCGGGCTATAAATGCTGCGCAAAAATAGCTGCTCTTGAGAACAATGGTTATTGCAAAATCTGAACCAAACCTCGTGCCTCTCGAGGATACCATTGATTCTCGCATCCATAGAGAAGAGCCTGCAATAGGGCCAACTGAAGAGCTGCGAGAGATATGTGTCAGTGAAGAAGATCCAACTCGAGTACTAAAAGTCGGCAGTAGCTTGAGCGAAGACATGACCGACAACCTGGCGGGGTTTTTGAAGAAAAATCTCGATGTTTTTGCATGAGTGTATGCGGATATGGTGGGGATCAACCATGAGGTAATGTGTCATAGGCTGAACATCGACCCGAAAATTCGACCAATAAGACAAAAAAGAAGTTTTATGGATGCAAAGCGCTCCAGGGCGCTCAAGGATAAAGTTGACAAGCTCCTGAACATCAACTTCATTAGGGAAGTAAAATACCCGGATTGGCTCACCAACCCAGTCCTGGTTAAGAAGTCGAATGACAAGTGACAGACTTGTGTTGACTTCACAGATGTGAATAACGTTTGTCCAAAAGATAGTTTTCTGCTACCATGGATCGACCAACTAGTGGATGCGACAGTTGGAAATGCACTACTTAGCTTCATAGACGCGTACTGGGGATATAACCAAATCTCGATGTACCAGCCCGATGAGAACATACCTCATTCATTACTGACCGTGGAATTTATTGTTACAAGGTTATGTCATTTGGCCTCAAGAATGCTGGGATGACCTACCAGCGCTTGGTGAATAAGATGTTCGCTAACCAAATTGGCAAGACTATGGAGGTATACATCAACGACATGCTCGTCAAGTCAAAGGTCGTCGAAAGCCACATTGAGCATCTGGGGGAAATGTTTAACATCCTCAGAAGATACCGAGTGAAGCTCAATCCTTTAAAATGTGCTTTTGGAGTGAGCTCGGGGAAATTCTTAGGCTTCCTCATAAACCAACGGGGTGTAGAAGCCAACCCCGAGAAGATTCAAGCTTTGCTCGATATGAAAAGCCTGACCAGCATAAGGTAGGTACAAAGCTTGACCGAGCGTGTGGCCGCACTTAACAGGTTTGTTTGCTAAGCCACAGACAGATGCTTACCATTCTTTGAGACCTTGAAGTGGAAGAAATGTTTCAACTGGACAGAGGAGTATGAGAGAGCCTTCCAAGAGCTAAAGAAACATATGGGATGACCTCATTTGTTGTCAAAACCCGTCCAGGGTGAGCCATTGCTATTATACTTATCAGTATCAAAGTTTGCTATCAACGTGACATTGGTATGCGAGGAGGGAGGAGTGCAATGACCGGTATACTATGTGAGCAAGAGGCTGGTCAACATGGAGACGAGATACCCTAAAATGGAGAAGCTCACCTTCACCCTTGTCATCGCTACCAGGAAGCTGCAGCCTTATTTCTAGGCACACTCCATTCACATGCTGACCAACTTTTCCTTAAAGAAAATAATGCAAAAGCTTGAGATATCGGGAAGATTGATCTAGTGGATAATGGAAATGAGTTAGCATGATATCAAATACATCCCAAGAATAACAATCAAAGGTCAAGCCTTGGCAGAGTTTATATCAGAATTCTCCTATCAACCAGAAGATGAACCAAGCTCGCCAGGGGCAGATACCTCGGGAGAAGTCGAGCAATAGAAACCAAAGCTCGATGACCTATGGCAATGGACTTTGTATGTGGATGACTCCTCGAACGAGAAAGGGACAGAGCGGGGCTCTTGCTCGAAAGTCTAGAGGAAAACCTGATCAGAGCTGCAATAAGGTTCGGGTTTGCCGTCGCCAACAACGAGGCTGAATACGATGCGTTGCTCGTAGGGATCCGTCTCACTAAGAAAATGGGGGCAGATTCCATTAAGATTTATAGTGATTCACAGCTTGTAGTCCACCAAATTATCGGAGAATACCAGCCAAAGGAAGACATGATGGCGTCTTACCTCCAATTAGTGGAAATCGAGCTCAAGCAGTTCCAATCCTTCACAATCCTTCAGATCCAAGGGGAGAAGAACTCGGTAGCAGATGCTTTAGCCTGCTTAGCCTCTGCAATGAACCAAGAGAAAGCTGATTCTATCCCAGTTAAGTTCCTCCCAAGACTAAGCATCTCCGCTCCATAAGGACCTGTTTTAGTGACGAGTCAGAGATATGGTTGGATGGATGCAATCACTGCCTACCTAAGGGATGGTACACTACCAGAGGAGATAACTGAAGCTAGAAGACTCCGCATAAAAACAGCTCAGTACACGCTCATCAATGAAAAATTGTATAAATGCAGTTTCAATGTACTGCTGCTGCGATGTATCGACCATGAGGATGCAAATTATGTCCTGAGAGAGATCCATGAGGGAATTTGTGGAAATCATGCAGGAGGTAGATCTTTAGCATATAAAGTGTTTCGCTAGGGGTATTATTGGCCAACATTTTTCAACGATGCAACGAACTATGTGCGTAGATGTGATAGATGCCGGAGGTTTGCAGATACTTCGCGAGCTCCACCTCAAGAATTGACTACTCTGACAAGCCCTTGGCCATTTGCGATATGGGGCATCGACCTAATCGGCCCCTTGCCTTAAGGAAAATGGGGCGTTAAGTTTTCAGTGGTTGCCATTGATTACTTCACCAAGTGGGTAGAGGTTGAGCCCTTGGTTACTGTCACGTTGAATAAGCTGAAGGATTTTGTTTATAAAAATATTATTTGTCGGTTCGGAATCGCCCATACTATAATAACCGATAATGGGAAACAGTTCGACAGTGAGGACTTTAAATCTTTCTGTGAACCACTCGACATCAAGAAGAGTTTTGTCACTGTTTATTGGCCTCAAGCCAATGGTCAAGTAGATGTTATAAACAAGGTCATCAAGCACACTATTAAAAAGAAGCTCGACGCCCTGAAGGGAAGATGGGCTGAAGAATTCCCCGAAGCCTTGTGGTCCTATAGAACGACAGCCAGGAGTTCGACAGGTGAAACCCTGTTCTCTCTATCATATGGGTGTGAAGCAATGGCCTCTATCGAAGTGGGAATCAGTTCCTTCCGGAGGGAAGTTTTCAACGAGGAAGTAAATGAAGACCTTCTCCGCTTGAGGCTAGACTTAATCGAAGAGTATCGAGTCAATTCTCAATTAAGACTCACCTCATATCAGCAGCGAGCCAAACGATACTTCAACACCAAAGTCTCAATTAAGAATTTTATTTTGTTGAAGTTTACATATGAAAAGAAAGAAAACGAAAATCAAAACACATGATATTATCCTTAAGTGGGGAAATTTGTGATGTCATTTTTTTCACTTTTCTCGTCCATGCGTATCCTATACTTTTTTAATGAGACACCTAGCATGATAGTCTATAATAAGAGAGGAAGGAAGGTCAGTAGAGGAATATCAGTAAAAGGGTAGAAAACTAAGTGAGGTGTAAAGTGCTAGGAGTGGAATTTAGGAAGGACAGATGGCATTATGTGAGTGGGAAAGTGAACAATTCAGTTATAAGAAAAAGGCGTTGGGGAATAAAAGGGAGGGACTAGGGGAATTGTGGGTTCATTTCTGGAAAAAGGTTAAGGTTAAGGAAATGGAGGTGGCTGACCCTCGAAGTTCAGTGTTATCTTTTATTTTTCTGTTTTCATTCTAGTTCTTGAATTGATTTGTGTTTAGTTGCTGGTAGAGGATAGAACATGGATCTTCTGAATGTATTGTTCTGATCTTGATATCAATAGACAGACTATTTCATTTTATTCCTTTTGGTTGCTGAGTTTGCGTAGTTGTGTTTGGAAAGGTAGTTTGTGTGTTGCTGCTGTGACTAAATAGAATCGGTGTTCTATCACTTTTATATTTAGAGGAAAATCCCAAAAGGATAAAAGGAAGGAGACAAGGGAAGAGGGTGAACGCATAAAGTTGCCAAAATGCAGGGAGTGGGAAAATAGAATTGAATTAGAGAGCCTTGCATGTGATAGCTTTAATTTTTTTTCATGAGCATGATTATAGGATCATGATATGCTTTTAAATGATCATCAAATTTGTATGTTTTAAGGCCTATCATTGTTTAATCATGTGAACAAAATTCTATATGTTGAAATAGGGCTTATAGCATACTTTTCTGGAAGGAACAATATCTGAACTGTTCTCTTGGATTCTTGTTTTGTTGAATTTATGTGCAATTTTCATTAGAGTAGTTTGTTCCTCATGAACTTTCATTGGCTAATCAAGCAATTTGGAGTCATAGGTTAAATTGAACTTAAAACACTTGGAAACTTGGAGACAGTGGATCCTTTTGTTGGTTTCTATTTCTATCTCTTTTTGCCTAGAGTTAGGAAAGTTAACCTGAAGTTGACTTTGACTATGTGATTTTAGTTCTGTTCTAACTGAATCAGGCAAGGTTTGCTAGCAATCCTTTCTGATATGATGATCTACCATGATAATTATGCTATGAATAATTAACATTTCCTGTGCAGCCTTGATTGGTGATTTGCTCTTTTTTTTTTTAATACTACAAAAAAATTGTAGTTTTATTATGATCACCCTGCAATGAGGGGTGGCTGCTAGGAATGCTAATTGTTATTTTTCTCTGATGGTGTTGGACATTTGTTTTGTATGCAAATGGATTATAATAAAATTGGATTTTATGATGAGGGAAATTATGCATGTTTTGGGTATAAAAAATTGTAATATACAAAGTTGACTCTAGTAATAAGCTAGATTGAACTTTCTTAAGTGATAATTGTTGGAGAAAATGGAAAATACGATTATGTGTAATTTAGATAGTCAACATGATTGTTTCTGTTACAAGAACAGTGAAAATTAAATATTGAAGCTGTCATTTGATTACTATAATAAAAACTAGGTGACAAAACCAAGCTGCTTCTTTGTTTAGTGATGACATGATTTTACATGCAGTTATTTTTCTTGTCAATGAACTGACAATTCATCTGTGAGTGTAACTCTTCTGTTTCTTTCAAGCAGATGAGCTGAATGTAGAAGCAAGGGTCGAGTCCCTGGTGAGTATCGGGGAATTCTTCGGATTCTTAAGCATTGGCTAAACCCAATAGACGATTATGTGATTCTGCCTACTGCTTTCGAAATTGAAAGGCAGAAAGAGAAAGGATTAGAAGTAACTTCGCGAAAAGAGGAACGGGAAATCATCTTAGAAGTTCAAGATGACTGAAATATCTCTTGTGGTAAACCGGAACCGGAACCGCACAGTAACGGTTCCAAAAATTTGGAACCGGAACCTACCCATTGACGATTGGTTCTGGGTAGGTACCGAAACCAAACTCAGGGTAACCGTCGGTTCCGGTTCCAACCGGTTCTTTTGAAAACCCCTATTGCACTCACCGGCCCTTCCTCTTCAAAACCCCCAACATCTTAGCTTTCAATTGTTTACCGATCATCATCCCAATTTTTAGGGCTTTTAATGAATAGGGAAATTGATAAACTAACTCGGTGAAGGCCTCAAGTCCCGATTGAACTGATTCAACCGGTCGGGTCGTGTTTTAAAACAATGATTAAATTATAGTTTTTAAGATAGATGTAAAAACTAATTAACCGCTAGAATGACATGTGATCTTTCCATTTCTGTCTGTTCCAACACACAGAAATATGAAGCAACGAAAATAGTTAAGCGATTATAAATAGTTAGTCAATAAAGCAAATTAATTTTCGTTAAAATTTTAATTTAATCAATAAATGAACCCAAATGATCGAGTAAACTTTCCTCACTTAAAAAGAAGAATCAACCACTTATATGGGAATGAGACTAGCTTTTTCCAGACAAGATTTGATTTAATTAAATAAAATCATGACTAAATATTCACATTTATATCAAATATTATCTTTTATGTTTGATACAAGGAAAATAATACAGCCACCGACGATAGTGTACCGAATTTATGCACTGAATGACGTGACAAATTCTTGACTGTTGATTAATTTTAACTTACTATTAATCAACGGTCAAGATTTTGCCACGTCATTCGATGCATAAATTCGGTGCACTACTTCGATGACTGTAGCATTACTCTTGATACAATAGTAAGTTATCTGTGTTGTTATGAAATCAAGTAATTATAAAATTTTAGGACAATAGGAATTAGGGCCGAAAATAGGATTCCTAAAAATTTTCGGCATTGACAATTCGGCCATCGTTAGAATTTGAAGAGATTATTATGGGTTTTTGTAGCCTCTATTTCTAGCTTTCTTGGAAAGTTTTAAGACGATAATTACGTAAGGCTTAAAGCAAACCTCTCGAAAAATGTAAAATTTAAAGACAATGAGCTTTATTTTCTTGGCACCGAAAAATTAGTATTTCCAATCGTCATTTGATTTCAAAGAGATTATCCCACCTTGAAGTAGCCTATGTGTCTTGTTTGCTAGCAAAATCTAAAGACAATAGTTTTGTAGGGCTGAAATAGGCTTCTAAAAAATTCTAGGTAGTGAAAGTCGGTATATTCAATTCTCGTTGGAGTTCGAAGAGATTACCCTGTTGAAGTAGCCTATTTGTCTTGCTTGCTCAAAAATTTTAAAACAGTAAGTGTTTTTCATACCTTAAATCGGGCCTTATGAAAATTCACTCACTAAAAAATTCAAATTTTCGGTTGTGGTCGTAAATTAAAAAGATTGTCCCATATTGAAGTACCCATTTATAACTGTTCTCGGGATGTACTTGATATCATGTTGACTCATCTCCTTGGTCTACTGAATCAATCTACCCAATATCTCGGGCTTCTGCATTATTTTTTTCAATGGAAAGTTTGTCAACATGTGTACGGAGTGCACTTGGAAATAGGGCCGCAGCTTCCAAGCGGCGATGGCCAGTGCATAGGCGAGCTTCTCCATCCCCAGGTATATTGTCTCAACATCGAGCAGCCTCTTGCCCACATAGTACATTGACCATTNGACTCCGGCCACCTCCGGTGGTGGTCGCCGGCTGGGGGTGTTTGAGGGTGGGTTAGGGGTATTTTTGTTAACTTTTAATGTTTTATTATAGGGGGTATTTTGTAAAAAAAACAAACATAAAGGAGATTTTATTAATTTATAAATTTTACCTCGTAATACCCGCCCAATTCAACTTTTTTTTAACTTTTTTCAAAAAACTTTTCCCAAAACCCCCAAATTTTCAACCAAACGCAGCC